CTGGGGTGCAGCTGACTACGGCAGGGGCCCCTTCAGAACAGTACAGGTTTGCAAGTCTACCGCCTACACTGCAGGAGGATATGTGGGCCTCATTTCCAGTGCAGTTAGGAGAGAATTCCCAGTAGCTGTGCTTCTTTCGGGTTGCAAATATTCTGGAAAAGGAAAAACAGTCTGATTTAGTAAATATTAAATTAATTGTAAAGCCCAGTTGAAGTCTCAACCTAAATGCTGCTTCTAACCCTTATACTATAGTGGGCTGTGTTAGCATAGCTTAGTAACAGTCACACCTCTCAGTACAAGTCCTTCCTACACAGTATTGCACAAAAGTGGCTGACCGGGTTTGTGTGAATTACCTAGAGCTGATTACATAGTCTTTTCTGGTTCCTATTGGACTAAGGTTCGGTTCACACTATCTGCACTTCGGGCTGCACTGGAATAAACGGCCATCGCAGCCGGAACGCAGAACAAGGCAAATTGCCTTGTCATGGATGAGCTTGGTTCACACATCCGTGTTCCGGGTAAATGATCATACTTAGAAACCCTGCACAACGGCTGTACAAGAAGGTGCAGATATTAATATGAAAATGGAGGTTGGTAGTACAATGTCTATTTCTGTGACTTCAATTGGGCTTTAAAAAAGACAATCAAACTAAGACAACATATATACACAGACAGTACATCCACAGAGCATTTTATCATTTCACCGGGGAAGAATTGCTGAAATACCAATCCTGTGCAGCATAACCATATATTCTAACAACTGACCAGTGACCACCCATAGACTAGTATGGGCATAGTTGGTATCTACCATAGGCACTGGCGGAACTACCAGGGTCGCAGCTGTCGCATGTGCGACTGAGCCTTGGTAGTTCCGCGAAATGGGGGGGGCCCGGTAACCACCGAGGCGCAGAGTAACATGTTAGATGGACGGGGGAGGACTATCTGGTGGCACGCTCTCTTCTCATTAGGATGCATTCTCCCCCGGCTCAATCTCTCCACTCCGCTGGCTCCCTGTGAGGAGAACACAGCTGGTTACCTCCGCTGTCTGCTGCTTCGCCAAGATGATGACTGCCGCTGATGACAGCGGAGGAAGTGTCACTGACACTTTGTGAGGGTGTGTTGATAGGGCTGAGGAGAGCGAGAAGGAAACGTTTTGTTGGTGTGAAGAAAGGTGCCTCCTTGTATGTGGCAAATTCATCTATAGCAGCTCAACACTGCTCAGCTGATGTAAGTTATATCAGCTGAGCAGTGTTGGGCTGCTATAGATGAATTTGTCACGCACAAGAAGGCACCTTGCACTACCACTGGCGGAACTACCAGGGTCACAACACTCACATGTGCGACCAGGCCCTGGCATTACGCCACTTGGGGTGGGGCGGAAAGGAAGAAGCGGGACCAGTAACCACCGTGGCGGGTGGTTGGGGGGGGCCTTCATGGTTTCTTGCATCGGAGCCCAGAAATGTTTAGTTACGCCTCTGACCATAGGTTTATAGGTACATGCAGGGCCGGCCTTAGGGGTGTGCGAGGGGATGCAGAGGAAAAGCTGCAGGCTGAGCACCTCTCTGTGTGTGGACGAGCGGTGGAGGATCAGTACATATCAGTGGTATGTACCAAACGCTGGAGTGATCAGCTGATCACTCCAGTGTTTGTAAATAGCTGGGAACACATAGTACTATGTCCCCCCAGTTATGAATGAACAGGAAAAGCTTTACATCACTTCCTGTTCATTCACAAGTTTCTCAATGGGAAATAGCACTCTGTACAGAGGCTCCTCCCCATTCAGAAACTGGATGATAGTAAATATTTTCTGAATGAATGGGAAGCCTTCACTTTCTACTGATTTAGAACAGAGGCTGCAGAAAAAGAGATTGATGACTTTGTGTCCTCAATTTATTTATTTATTTTAAAAGGGAAATATCAGGGGGCTGTTTTGTCTGCCTACACTAATCTGATAAAAGGTGAAATCTGATTGGTCGATTAGGTTACTGCACCCTGCACAGCATTATTACTCTCTGCCCCTTCATCTTTTCCTTCATAATCCCACTTACTTGTAGACCTTCTGGTTGTATTTCCTCTCCCCGGGGAACCCGAACATGCCACATATCACTCTGCTGTTCTTCTGGGTCCACTGGGAGTCACACACCTGCTTCCAGTTGTCATTAATTTTAACTTCCACGTAGCCCTCAGTAACAGGAATGCGTTTGCGGTATGTGGCAAGGATGGGGCGGATGCGCACGTCTTCCACCAGGATGTTCAGCACCTGCAGGAACAGCAGCATGTTATAGGTAAAGGACATAACTGCGGTACAGGATAATTAAAGAGGAGCCAAACCATAAAACATATTTCTGAAACACTGTCATGTGGACGCAATGTACTATCCATTCTCTGATGGCAGGTCAGGACAGCTCTAATTATATAGAAATGATTTATTTACCAGCTGCTGCCTTGTCTCCTCAAATTCCGAGACCTAATCACTGGGAGCAAGCATTAAAGAAATCATCAACCCACGCCGCAAGTCAATATCGGTTATGTACAAAGTGGCCTAGCATAATGGCCCCTTTAATGACAGCTTGGCATATAAACAGGTGCGCGGCCCAGACTGATGGTCAGCAGAAACCCAAAACCAAAAGACGTTCAGCAGAATTTTTATTTGGAGCTAAAAATTGCACATCTGTGAAAATACAAAAATATCCTCTAAGACAGTGCAGGCTGCAAAAACACATGGACGGTGTCACAGGCTCATTGGCTCCTCTATTCTGCCAAACATATGGCCTGCTTGGTTATCAATGGTTCACCAAGCCGTTCCTCCGTTGTTGTCATCAACATCATCATCATCATTGTAATGAAAATATATATAATCTACATATTACACAATGCTTTACAGAACCCGGCTTATCATGGTTTTAAAGTTGCCACCAGGACAAGAGGTAAGGGTAAATCTTCCAACAGAAGACCTGTTCCAGTGACAACTGTCTCAAAGAGAAATTCCCCTCACACTATAGAGATTTCCTCCTACTTTCGTTTGCATTTTTTGGAACATTCCAAAGGGAACAGGACATAGACAGGAGACAATTAACTGGCAGGGGTTATCCTACTTCCCCAATCTATTAATAATAAAAGTTTTGGCTATACAGTTGCTTTACCCTTAACATTACTGAACCACCGAACTTCAAAGCGAACAAGTTCACTTTAATGTCGTCCTCCCCCACTCCACATACTCAACTTCCTTTTGATCTCCCACTTCCCCATTCAGCTGCATGGGGGATGAATGGCCATTGAGGCATACAGCACTGCCACACAGAGGTGGTAACTAACCCCCCCCC